CTGTTCATTTGCAGATAGAGGAGGCTGTTGGAATTATCCCTGGAGATGGTGAATCGTCCCTTCACTTTATCTAAGTAGCGAATGTCAGATGAACCTGCATTTATACCTGCAACCCATTCCAGGCCCTTTCCGTGAGCCCGTCTTCCCCAGTGCATCCATTTGCTGCTGAAGGTGAACCCAGAGGCTTGACAGGAGAGGCGGAGGGACTCCCCAGGCCTTTTCACATCCCCTCCAGACTCAACCAGCTGGACCTCTGACTGGACACCTAGAAAGAAAGGCATTTTAAGAGACCTGGTGTATGTCTTTAACACCCATCATGTACTAGCTGTTTTCAACAGAAAGGATGGATTTACCTCCAAAGGCTGCTGAAAAGAAAACAAGCTGAAGCAAAGCTATCATTTTCCCTGTGTGAACTGTTGTCCCAAGCATGCAGGCAAAGGGAGGGTGTCTGACTGCCTTTGAGAGGAAGCTTTCTCTGAAGATTTACATACCTATTAGGATAAAAGGACTAGCAGAAACATTTGGCAATGTAGAACTGGAGGTGTGCCTGCTCTTTGCAAAAATATTCTTCTTTGCTACCATACAATGCACACAGCTCTTTACAGTGGTGGATTTATGTATCCATATCAGGTTAGAAGAGCAAAACAGGCTTCTTTTTTTGAACATGTTCAGTGCCCTTATTAGGGATGGTGGTGAACGGCTCATTAACTTAAATGGAATGATATGATCAAATGAGGTTTCAGAAAGTTTAGATTGGGAATTAAATAAACATGTAGATAAGGGCACAGCAAAGAGAGAGAAATGTTTGTCAAATGCCTTCTCTTAAAGGTTTTAAACGAAAAGTTAGAAGATACAGTTTATTCTGCCTTAAGACCAAGTAATTCTGCACCAGACAAGGCATGCCCACAGTTCCTTATTTCTACCTTTCTCAAAACAACAAAAGTCCTTTGTAATGTGTCCTTTGCAATGTGTGAATGAGGAAATACGTCCTGGGTTGCTAACATGCTGCCCATGGGTGCTCATGCATCTGCCGAAAGCATCCCTGGTTCTCTCCGCACTCCACCCCCCGAGATTAGCCTTTAAATAAGCACAGTCTGTATAACAGGTTGTGGTGTGTGATGGGTTGCTTGTGGTGTTTGTGCATAGTGCCCATAACAGATTTTTCTGATATCCATATGTGCCCATGGGTTGTTTGTGGCTCCTGGCCTACATGAACCAGACACTCGAGTCACACAAAAATAAAAAATAAAATAAAAAATGAACAGTAGACTCTTTTGCTGATCAAACAATCGCTATTGTTATCTCCAAAAGTAGAACTAGGAACAAATGTGTGTTGTTCTAAAGGTCTGCCTATTTCAACCTGCTTACCTAATGAAGAACTTATGCATCCAAAGTTAATGAAAGAGTGGTTTTTGAGATAGATAGATAGATAGATGATAGATAGATAGATAGATAGATAGATAGATGATAGATAGATAGATAGATGATAGATAGATACATAGATAGATAGATAGATATAGATAGATAGATAGATGATAGATAGATGATAGATATAAATGGATAGATGGATAAATGGATTGATTGATGGCTAGATGGCTAGATGGCTAGATGGCTAGATGGCTAGATGGCTAGATGGCTAGATGGCTAGATGGCTAGATGGCTAGATGGCTAGATGGCTAGATGGATAAATGGATAGATGGATAGATAGATGATAGATAGATGAACACTACATACTTATCATGTGATCTCAACACAGGCATGTGCGCACATGTAGAAAGTGATCTCAACCCAATATGTTAAATTGAACATAAAAAGGCCTTAACTTCCATAGAAATGTGCAGAGTGAGCATCACGTGTTACATAGCCCATGACAAACAGTGATAGAAACAAGAATATAACCATATATAGGAAGGTGTTGAAGACAGGATCAAGATTTCTATATTTTTAAGAGTTATGCTCTCCCCTCTCAAACACTGTCAAGCAATGGATATCTCATCCTTTCCCTGGTCCAGTGTCAACCTGAGTGCTGCAAGGAAGAGCAATGTGAAGTATAGTGAAAATAGCTGGAGCCTCTGAGTGCTGCTTGAACCTGTGCAAAACCATAACCTGGAATGTGTTTTGGGGTTTCATTGTAAAATGGGATGGTGAATGTTGATGTGCAAAAGGGGACATGAAAATATTCCTTTAAACTATAAGTTGCAATACTTGTTCCTCAAGATTGTGATTGAGAGCAGCCTGGCTTAAGATTCACTTCCTCTCACTGTGTCTCTTGCACAGTAATATACAGCCGTGTCCTCAGGTTTCAGGTTGTTCATTTGCAGATAAAGGAGGCTATTAGAATTGTCCCTGGAGGCAGTGAATCTTCCCTTTACTTTACCCAAGTAGTGAATGTAATTAGATTGGGGATATATGTAGGCCACCCATTCCAGGCCCTTTCCAGGAGCCTGCCTCACCCACGCCATGAAGTAGCTGCTGAAGGTGAACCCGGAGGCTTGGCAGGAGAGGCGTAGGGACTCCCCAGGCCTTTTTGCATCTCCCCCAGACTCAACCAGCTGGACCTGCGATTGGACACCTAGAAAGAAAGGCATGTTGAGAGACCAGATCCATGTTATGAACACCTAGAATGTACCAGCTTTCTTTAACGGGAAGAATGAATTTACCTTCAAAAGCTGCTGAAAAGAAAACCAGTTGAAGGAAAACTATCATTTTTCTGGTCTGATTCTTTGAGAGAGTTAAGCAAGAATCGGTCCCACATGTGCATGGGAAGGGAGGTTATCTGACTGCTTTAAAGAGGAAGCTCTCTCTGAAGATTTGCATACCCATCGGTATAAAAGCACCAACAGAGATTCTGGGCCGTGAGGGACTAGAGTCATTTCTGCACTTTGTCAGAAATCTCCTTCTTTGCTGCTGCACAGTTTGTACAGGTCTTTATAGTGATGCTTTGAGGTATAACTCTCAGGGCGGGGGAAGCAACACAAGTTTTCAGAAATTCCATCACTTTCAGCATGCCCAGTATTTCTACCGTTGAAGGTGGGGAACAATTTCTTACCATAAATATGGAGAGGAATTGGGCTGGAAGGATATGGTCAAATGAAGCAGAAGAAAATTTAGATTAAATATGAAGTAACACTTCATATCACAGCTCAGCAAAGAAATGAAATGTCTGTGGAATGCTCTCTCTTAAAGGCTTTAAATAAAAATATATATGAATAGCATATGTATAGGTATCCCATCTTTATGTAGAATAGTAGAGAACATGACACAACATTCTCATAGCTCCTTGTTCTTGCTCTGCTCAAAGCACAGGGAATCCTGTATTTGTAATATATAAATGAGAAATATAAAAGCTGTGTTTACATGGGGGGGGGGTGTCACTAACATGGAGCTCATGAGCGCGTATATATGCATGTTCAGTAACATTCACTATTTGTTTGTCAAGGCATCCTCCCTATTCTTTGGTCCTCCACAATACCAAGAATAAGATACACAACAACCAATACTTGGGTGAAATCAGGCCACAACTTTATTGGCAACAAAAGTTTGGCATAGACATAGGGTATACCCTTCCCCTTTCTGGCAAAAGAACTTGTGTTTTGGGGATAAAAGAAATGAGGGAGTCAAGAAAGGGGTATCTCCTCCACTGGATTGCACCTGGGGAGTGCTGTGGCTCCTCACCCCTGCCTGGGCATCCCAACAGAGGTTATCTCCCCACGATCCCTTTAATGGGATACTCCATTTCGAAGGCAGAGGCTACAACCTCCCCTCCGAACACGACTTTGCCTATCCAATGCCTAAACTGTCAAAGTTGTGACCTTTGCAATGAGGATGGCAAAAGGCAGAGGGCTGAGTTGGAAAATTTCAACCTGGTCCCTAATACGGTGATCATCTATGCTATAGCAAGGTGGAGCAGAACAACATACAATAGCAATATGTAATGTGGGTGGGTGGGAATCCAACGAAAAGTGGCTGCAGAACAAGCCATGGGCCTGTGTTATATACTGGAGGAACAAGCTTTAACTTGGTTGCCCATGCTTGCTCCCGATTCACTGATTAGGCAAGTGGACAGGGCAAATTACTCAAGCAACAAGTTTGGTCGAGAGCCTTCCTTTGATGCCTGGGAATCCCAAGTCAGATCCTGGCATGCAGGGGAATGCCAGCCCACAATGACGCCCGCCCAAGAGGGTGAATACATTTCTGATAGTATCCTCTCTTCCCAATGGAAATTTGGTTTCAAAGAAGCTCTTTAGTGTAGCCAATAGATCAAGTTGTGGCATGTAGCTGGTTGTGGTGTGTGTGTGTGTGTAGTGCCCATTATAGAATGTTTGATGGCCCTTGGAGTAAATGAAAAAGAGAACTGAATCACATTTTAAAAATAAATATTTGTAGATCTGATCCGGAACCTGAGATCATAATTTGAGGCCGTTTTTTATTGTCCTCCTCCACAAGAAGTCTGGAGGGTGGCAAAATGAGAAGGAGCCATTTCTGAAATGTATCCCTATTTGTGGAACGCTCTCCCCAGTGAGGATTGCCTGGAACCATCATTATACATCTGTAGGCACCAGGCAAAACCTTTCCTCTATAACCAGGCCTTTGGCCTTTAACTATTTGTGGTCTCTTAGAAGTGGGTGAGTTGTTTTTAATGTATTCTTCTTTCCTCTTGGTTTTAACATACCTATGTGGGGTTTATTGTTTCTTTGGTTGTAAATCTCATTGGATTGCCCTGGGCAAGATTACGGAACTGATAAATTCATAATAATAACACTAATAAATGATTATAGTTTGCCTGGGAAGAGCCCTAGGTGTAAAGCTGCATGACTAGCTGGCTGTCTCCGTTTGAATGGGCAGACTATCAGTCTAAATTATTTTAACAGGTTTCTTTGGTCTCTGGCAGCTAATAGAATGTCCCTATTTTCATTTGAAATGTTGGAGGGAATGCAACTCCTCTGTTTTGATTAAAGGAGGGTTTTTGTCTGGCTTCAGATTCACTTCCTCTCACTGTGTCTCTTGCACAGTAATACACAGCCGCGTCTTCGGGTTTAAGGCTGTTCATTTGCAGATAGAGGAGGCTGTTGGAATTGTCCCTGGAGATGGTGAATCTTCCCTTCACTTTATCCAAGTAGTAAATGTAATTAGATTGAGGATATATGTAGGCTACCCATTCCAGGCCCTTCCCAGGAGCCTGTCTCACCCAGTGCATGCCATAGTCCCCAAAGTTAAACCCAGAGGCTCAACAGGAGAGGCGGAGGGATTCCCCCGGCCTTTTCACGTCTCCTCCAGACTCCACCAGCTGGACCTCTGACTGGACACCTAGAAAGAAGGGCATTTTTAGAATTCTGCTGCATGTTATTAACTCCCAGAGTACCCCAACCATCTTTAACTGAAAGGATGGATTTACCTCCAAAAGCTACCGAAAGGAAAACTAGTTGAAGCAAAACTATCATTTTACTTGTCTAATCCTGTGAGAGTGTTGAGCAAAATTTGGTCCCAAATATGCAGAGGAAGGGAGGCTGTGTGACTGCTTTAAAGGGGAAGCTTTCGCTGAAAATTTGCATACCTATCAAGATAAATGCACCACAGAGACTTTGGGCAATGTATGACTAGAGGCACATCTGGACTTTGCAAAAATCTGTCTCTTCGACACTGTTTGACATTTGCAGAGCTCTTTACACCTGTGGACATGTGTCCCTCACAGGATGCATAAGCAACATGGAAACTCTGGGCTCATCAACACTTCCCTTTGTCCTGTGGGTCCAGGATGTTCTTTTGTTCAGTTGCTTTTCCCTGGTTCTGCTGAACCAGAACAAATGTCAATCCACAGAAAACTTGGTTTATTTTTGTTCCTATTCAGTGTTAAACCATGGCTTTTCCTGGAGAAAATGATGGGAGAAAAGAAAAAAAACAGGAATAAGAGTAGTGTGGGCAAGCCCTCTTTCACTCAGAGCATGCCAAACACTTTGTGGAAGATTGATTTGTAATGATTTGTTGGGTCTCTGGACCGTAATAAAGATTGATTGATTGACTTTGTGGAAGATAGTGAGCAATTCCTGAACATGCTTTGAGGAGAATCAGGCTGCAATAATGTGAAGAAATGAAGTTGGAGAGAGATGATGATGATGATGATGATGATGATGATGATGATGATGATTTTATTATACTTATATATCGCTCTTCATCATTAAATTCCAGGATGGTTCACAAATTAAAATACAATGTAAAAACATAAATAAATAGTTAAAATGTTAAGAACATCAGCCGTCATGACTTTTCACAGTGGCTGTGGAGGAGACTTTGGCCTTTGGTGGCTGAGAAAGTGGGACATTTAAACAGAAACCAGGGCGGTTTCTGTAGATCTGGGACGTTCTGCTCAAAGTAGGACAGTTGGAAGCTCTGCTGTACTGCAAATATTTTGTTTACACATGCCTCAATCTATAGGCTATCCACATTTGTAGAAAAGAAGATTGCACATGGATTCCTTCCCCACAAACTTTTGCCAATGAGCACAGAGATAATTGCTTGAAAGTTTCTCAGGGACTCAAAGCCTCAGGGAGCTCATAGAAAGTTGGTTGACCAGGAAACATCTGAGAAAGTAATTGCTTCACAGATGAAATCACCAACTGTACTTCGAGCAGCATTTTATTTCAGTCATGGCAGAATCCGGGGTTTTCTCATCTTTGCACCATGACTGCCCCCTTGTGAGAAACAAGAGACGGAAGAGGTCTGCTTTTGTGACAAGATGCTTAATGTGCAAAATGACATTTGGTAGAGATTTATGGGTTTTCCTTCCAGTGAAGCCAAATTCTCCTTTAGACCGTTTGACTGTCCTGATTTTTTCATTTTCATTCATTCACAATTGCTTTACAACATTTTCCATGTTTATCAATACTCAAAGTGTTTTAAAAACAAATCAGCAATGTTCATATCTTAATCACAATAATGCAATGCCATTAAACCTAGTTTTACCAAACTTCTCACCAGTGATGGAGCTTCATGCTCTGGAACCAGGGGGCAGAGAGCAGGCAGGAGAGGGGCTGGGGGCATCCCAGGGGAACAGCGTGCCGCCTACAGGGGCGTGGCACGTGTCCTGGGGGCGGGGCGTGCCACCTACAGGGGTGTGCGGGGGCGCAGTCGTGATAGTACCCCACCAGGATCGCGCTGCCGGGGGGGTGCTCCCCCCGCACACCTCTTCCTCCTCCAGTGCTTCTCACTGTAACCTCTGTCTACTAAACATCTCTATAACTTTCAGTCTCACCAGATGCATTTCTTTTGATTGTATAAATCCACTTGCAGAACGAGAGAGACTCTATCATCTATCTATCATCTATCTATCATCTATCTTTCTCTCTATATCTATCTATCATCTATCTATCTATCTATCTATCTATCTATCATCTATCTATCTATCTATCTATCATCTATCATCTTTCATCTATCTAATCTATCGAATACAGTGGTACCTCAACTTAAAGACACTTCAGGTTACAGACGCTTCAGGTTGCAGACTCTGCTAACCCAGAAATAGTACCTCGGGTTAAGAACTTTGCTTCAGGAAGAGAATAGAAATAGTGTAGTGGCGGTGCAGCAGCAGCAGGAGGCCCCATTGGCTAAAGTGGTACCTCAGGTTAAGAGCAGTTTCAGGATAAGAATGGACCGCCAGATCGAATTAAATTCTTAACCCGAGCTACCAATGTATATTTACAATGTTTGTGTATTTTGATAGGTGGCTCTCTGCATAAATAAAAGCCCTTGTTACACATGCATATCTGAATTGTCATATATGTTTGCTTTGCAAGAAGACACTAAGATGTTTTAGGAGAAGCAGAGTCTTATGTGGAGAGATGGTGTCCCTACTCCAACATTTCTCCCAATGAAGAAATTTCCACACCCAGAAGCCATGAAAAATGCTTTACGACAACTAAATAAAGTATATGCACTACATAAAGAAAACATCATATGACCTCACCATAGGCAAGTGCACACACGTGAGCCCTAAAAAGACCCTAACTTCCAAAAAGAAAAAAATGAACAGTAGGCATCATGTGTGTCATATGTAATTCATGTAAAAGAGGGATAGAAGCAAGAATTGAACCACAGCTTGCTGCTTGAACCCATGTAAAATCCTGACCTGAAATATGTCTTTGGGCCACATAGACTTAAATAAGAAACAGGTGGGGGAGTCCTGACACACCAAAGAGGACAAAAAAGAATCATTTGAACTACATGTTTCTTCAGTCTCTTGCAGCTGAATCAATTCAGAGGGCAGCTGTGGGCAAAGGAGGGTTTTTGCTTGGCTCCAGATTCACTTCCTTTCACTGTGTCTCCTGCACAGTAATACACAGCCGTGTCTTCCAATTTAAGGCTGTTCATTTGCAGATAGAGGAGGCTGTTAGAATTGTCCCTGGAGACGGTGAATCTTCCCTTCACTTTATCCAAGTAGGAAATGTAATCAGATTGGGGATATATGTAAGCCACCCATTCCAGGCCTTTCCCAGGAGCCTGTCTCACCCAGTCCATGTAAGCATTCCCAAAGTTGAATCCAGAGGCATGGCAGGAGAGGCGGAGGGACTCCCCAGGCCTTTTCACATCTCCCCCAGACTCAACCAGCTGGACCTCCGATTGGACACCTAGAAGGAAGGGCATATTGAGAGACCAGATCCATGTTATAAACACCCAGAATGTATCAGCTTTCTTCGACTGGAAAAATGAATTTACCTTCAAAAGCTGCTGAAAAGAAAACAAGTTGAAGGAAAACTATCATTTTCCTTGTCTGATTCTTTGAGAGAGTTAAGCAAGAAGTGGTCACACATATGCAAGGGAAGGGAGGTTCTCTGACTGCTTTAAAAAAGATGCTCTCTCTATAGATTTACATATCCATCAGTATAAAAGCACCAACAGAGACTCTGGGCAGTGAGGGAATAGAGTCCTGTCTGCACTTTGTCAGAAATCTCCTTCTTTGCTGCTGCACAGTTTGTACAGGTCTTTACAGTGATGGTTTGATGTAGAACTCTCAGGAAAATAATAATATAATAATAATAATTTTTATTTATATCCCGCCCTCCCCAGCCGAAGCCGGGCTCAGGGCGGCTAACAACAATAAAACAGTACAAAAGTACAGCATAAACAACATTCTAAAATCATTCATTATAAAATTAATTAATTCAAGCCACTGGCAACCATTTGGCCAGAGCTCCGCGAGGATTGCCGAGGGAGGGAGTCAGGCTGTGCCCTGGCCAAAGGCCTGGTGGAACAGCTCTGTCTTGCAGGCCCTGCGGAAAGATGTCAAGTCCCGCAGGGCCCTGGTCTCTTGTGACAGAGTGTTCCACCAGATCGGAGCCACAGCCGGAAAAGCCCTGGCTCTAGTTGAGGCCAGCCTAACTTCTCTGTGGCCTGGGACCTTCAAGATGTTTTTATTTGAAGACCGTAAGTTTCTCTGTGGGGCATACCAGGAGAGGCGGTCCCGTAGGTACGAGGGTCCTAGGCCGTATAAGGCTTTAAAGGTTAAAACCAGCACCTTAAACCTGATCCTGTACTCCACCGGGAGCCAGTGCAGCTGGTATAGCACCGGGTGAATGTGATCTCACAGCGAAGACCTCGTAAGGAGTCTCGCTGCAGCATTTTGCACCCGCTGGAATTTCTGGGTCAGTCTCAAGGGCAGCCCCACATAGAGCGAGTTACAATAATCCAGTCTGGAGGTGACCGTCGCGTGGATCACAGTGGCTAGGTCAGGGCGAGAGAGGTAAGGAGCCAACTGCTTAGCTTGGCGGAGATGGAAAAATGCCGCCTTTGTTATAGCTGCAATCTGAGCCTCCATGGAAAGGGAGGTGTCGAAGATTACACCCAAACTCTTAACGGACGGTGCTGGCACTAATTGCGCCCCCGCAAGAGATGGGAGTTGCCCCCCCCAATCCCATATCGCCCCGTCCCAGCCACAGGACCTCTGTCTTCGAAGGATTTAGCTTCAACCGGCTCCCACGTAACCATCCAGCCACAGCTTCCAAACATCTGGTCAGTGTGTCTGGGGCCGAGTCAGGATGGCCATCCATCAACAGATAGAGTTGGGTGTCATCGGCATACTGATGGCAACCCAGCCCAAAACTCCGAACAAGCTGGGAGAGGGGGCGCATAAAGATGTTGAAAAGCATCGGGGAGAGTATTGCACCCTGAGGTACTCCACACACCAAAGAGTGGCACGATGACAATTCCCCCCCAAGCGCCACCCTCTGTCCCCGACCAGAGAGAAACGAGCGCAGCCATTGAAGGACTGTGCCCTGGATCCCCATGTCGGCAAGGCGGTGGTCCAGAAGTTCGTGATCGACCATGTCGAAAGCTGCTGACAGATCTAGAAGAATCAGCAGCCCCGACCCGCCTCGATCCAGCTGTCTACGAAGATCATCTGTTAGGGCAACCAGAGCTGTCTTGGTCCCATGACCAGCGCGGAAGCCGGACTGGAATGGATCCAGAGCCGATGTTTCATCCAGAA